ATAACATATATATAATATCCTGATTTATTAGAATCTTTATTTAAAAATTTTTGAACTCAACACATGTACTATATAGTATTACAATTCTAGATTAATGGCGAAATACTAAGTGTGCAAAATGTCCCATTTAAAGTAATACCACTAAATTACTTTTGCAAGGATTATGGTGGTAATGACAAAGTCCATATAAAGAAATGAAATTAGAGGCATCGTTTGGCCGTCATATTTAGAAAGAATTTATTTGCTTTAAATATATTTTACTAATTAAAAATACAACAGAGAGATAAAAATTCTCTCTGTAAATAAATACTGTGTACTGTTTCATGAATAAAATATTCTTCTAAATATTAATTGCTAAATACGGAAAAAAAATTCAAAACTGAAGCTAAGAAAAAGCGAGATGTATAACAGTTATTTTTTATGCACTTTATGGTGTATAATGTATATCTTAGTAATGTGCATAAGTTTATTATGTTGTTTCCATGTGTAGCATACAAATTTGTGAATAAAGTATGCTGTCTCTCAAATTTACTATGTAGTTTTATCAACAAAAATACTCATTGTATCTCATATTCGAAAGAACAATCTTTCTTTAAAGTGTACTTCATAACTTTTTAGGAGGCCTTCTGGCAGCAATATGTTTGACAAAATTTTTGTTTAATAAACAAATAATTTTCTTCAAATTGTTCTTTGGAGAAAAAAAGACTTCTTCTTTAATGTGATAATTGACTTGAGTTATCTTCAACATGTAGAGCTGTCATAAGTCTGGAAATCTAATTAAATTAATAAAATTTATTAATAAATATTTCAGAGAAGATGAAACAATTTAAAAACATCTAATTAAATGAATTACATAGTAAAATTACAAGTTTTGAAATTTACCTCATAGGATCTTCAAGGTAATCTGGTGGTATTTGAAATAGCTTTGGATCTATATCATTCCGAAAGGCAAATTCTTGAAAAGTAATTTTTGCTGTTACCGTAGGTAAAATAGGTATATCAATCTTTACGGGAAAACCAGGTGGTAATTTCATTAGGACAAATTCCCGTAATTTACTAAAATGTTTGAATGGTGCTATTACTTCCAAAACATTGAGTAACATATCAACAGTTAGTGGAAAATCTGGACTCATGGCAACTGTTGCTTTAAATGATTTACTACTTTCCTTGTAAACTAGATTTCTTCCAAGAAGTGGACATTGACCAGGTGGAGCCGTAATATATTCCTCCCAAGTAATACTTGACTTTGGTGGTGGATTTAAAGAAGCTCTTCGAACTTGAGGCTAAAAATTGACAAGTTAACATGTTTAAGTAAATTAAATGATTCTATTACTTCTTTTACCTTTCCATTAGCAAATCCTTGTGAACTTCCTTTTGTTAATGATTCCATAATAGCCTTATTCTTTTGTAAGTCTTCCTCGCTTAAATGTTCTCGTCGTTTTCTACTTTCCAAAACCATTCCGTTGATTTGGTAAAAGTCCGCGTGGAAAGGCCCTACCATCTCCTTTATTAAATATTTGAGATATATCTCAAAAAAATTTTAAGAAAAGAGCAGGAGAAGGAGGAGAAGAATCATAGGTAAAACCAACAATGCTGGCCTTACCCTTTTGTCTTCACGAAATATCCAGCCTGTCTGAGCTTTTGAAAGTGTAATACTTTTTGTGGACATTTGTGCTGCCATGATATCACTTGACATAAGAATATCAACTTCATCTTGTATCTCTAATTCTGTTTCCTAAAAAATGAATCGGCAATAATAAATTTATTATCATAATTGATAATGAAAAATATTAATTAATAAGAAAATTTCACCTCATATCCAACTCTCTGATAACGTTTAGCTTTATTATCAAGTACTGCCAATGATTCACTTGGTTTTTGATCACCATTAAAAATAAATGATATGTCACCTCTTTCCCATCTCATATCATTGAAATCTACCAAAGTAGTATCCATTCTAATGGATGCTCCACTTTTATGTATTTTACAGACATCAGAAGGAAGCACTCGAGAAACAAGTGGTACTGAAAAAGATATTTATAAGTTGATACAATTACAATAGAACCTCTAATTTCCAAAGATTTAGTATTCGAACGTTCTAGTATCTCGACTTTCCATTATTCAACATTATATTTTCTTGTCTGTCCACTATCGCACATTAATGTAGCACGATTCAATCTGACCAAAATACCGTAAATTTTATTGCTAATAATACTATCAGTATACTACCTTAAATTCTTATGATACAAGCAATGATAAAAGTAATATGCCTTCATGTTCTGAAGCATTTATGGTATTAGATGATTTGAGAAATAAATAGAATGTAATTCAATACAATTCAATATATTAAAAAATTTATGTAATCTTAAATAATCTTAAATGAAAAAAACTTTTTTTTTCAACTTATTTTTTCATGTAGAATCATTCCAGTTGTAACGCCGGTTCAGAAACACTCTGTACATTATAAAAATTATGAAAAAAGGCAATTATTCGATAATTCTTTTACTCAAAATTATGTCTCATTATTTTGGATATTAGAGATTGATCGAAAATGTTTATGTGTTTATTTAAATATGGGAAATATATAAAAATATACACAATTTGCATAAACATTTTCAACATGATTATAAATTAATCTAGTTTAAACATAAAATTAAATACCCCAACTTTGAAAATCCCATTTTAATTCCATATAAAAGTCTCCCATTTGACGTAATGTTGCAACTAAATTTGGTCTTCTTTCTTCCATCTGTTCTCTAGCTTGTTGTTTTAATTTTCTCACTAATGATGATACTGTAAAGAATTTACAACTAATATTAAAATTATTTCCTTCTGACGAGTAATCTGCTATTATTCTTACTAACTGGTTTGTCTGTCTCCATAACTAATTGCTTCTGCAAGTGGACTCCATCCAGCTAAGTTCTTCACTTTTACAGGTGCACCATGTGCAAGTAATAGTTGAACTGATCCTGAAATTTTATTTATAACTTTATACAGGATGTTCCAGACTTCAACTGCCAACATGTTTGGGAACCAAAAATATTTTATCATGGGTCGATATGTCTTTGTCGATATGACTTTTTAAGATATGAAAAAAAATGTAATATAACCAATAAATAGTCAGATATACTGAAGCTATTTAAATTTTAATGATTATCATTTATTTCAAATTATTTTTTACAGTAATTAGTATTAATTTAGATTTATAGTCTTTGTCGATATGACTTTTTAAGATATGAAAAAAAATGTAATATAACCAATAAATAGTCAGATATACTGAAGCTATTTAAATTTTAATGATTATCATTTATTTCAAATTATTTTTTACAGTAATTAGTATTAATTAGATTTAATTTATACAAACTATTCAAAATTTTTTGATTTTTTATCCTTAGTATATACATGCAAGTAAGCATGCTTACACGGACTACATTCAATGCATAGTAGCGAAACCATTATTGATGGTATTAGCAGCCTCTTTGATTTTTTATCATTACATGTATTAGATTTTTCATTGAAGCATACCTTGATAATTATTAAAAATTAAATAGCTTCAATATATCTGATTATTCATGGCTTATACTATATTTTCCTTTCATATCTCAAAATTTTTGATTCATTATTGATCTATAAAATTTTTGATCTCAAATTATTGATTCATCGTATTGAAATGATACTTAAAATGATTTCTCAAACATGCTGGCAAAGTTCGATGTTTGAGATCTGGATCACTCTGTGTGTATACACACACACCCACACATTGTTATTAAATAATAATATACATTGTTATTAAATATAAATACATAATACAAATATTCTTACCTTTTCTTCCTAACATAACAGCTAAATGTAAAGGAGTATTTCCTATAGAAAAAAATAAAATTATTCTATACTCAAATATAATTAATTATTAATAAATCTATTTATGTTAACCTTGTTTGTCTTTCTCCGCAATATTATAAGTTCTGATTAAAGAACTTAAAGCTTTAACATCACCTTGAAATATGCATTTGTGTAAAGGGTACTTTTCATTTTCTGAGTTCTCAGCCATGGCCATTTGCTAGGAAAACAATAGCCAGAATGACAATAATTCTTTTCTTTATCTAATCGAATCCCTCTTGATATAATAATAATTTCCTTGTATTCCATTTCCAAAATATGGCATACTATATTGAATAATCATATCAAAACATTCATTATATGGGAATTATTCATGAACAAAAGTTCACTATTTGACATTGTATGTTTAATAATTAATAGAAATCAATGAATGATTTGTATTCAATTGAATATCTTTGCAGTTTACATTTAAACATCGATACTTTTATATGTTTTTATGGCACCATATTTAAGATATTTATGTATCTTTAAATACCTTTAAAGAATTTTTAAATCACGTTATGTTATCGTTGTTTTTACCGATGTTATTACTTTACCGCTGTTTTTAATTATCTGTGTTGTTAGTATTTATTATACTAGGTGGTCGTGCTTGTAATCAAAGTAAGTCAATCACCTCGTTACTTTTATCATTCAACATCTCTTTTACAACAACTGTTAAAAAGTGTTTGTTATCAAAATGAACTTTATCAAAATTCAATGTGTTTTAATACTACTTATTCTAACTTGTACAAATACACTGCGTTAATATCATCACCACTATATTAAAAAACTCACACGTTACTCACACTAATACTGTTTATATACTATACCGTGCATGTATCTAGTTATATGTTAATTATGTACGAACTTACGTTTACGAAAATATAATTGATACATCAAATCGAGATTTAAAAATTAGCAACTTTAAGGATCGCAAAATTGTATTTTGTAATTTGTATAATGCTGTATAAATATTATACTATAAAGTAATAAAGATGAGATTGCTAGGGACATTTTCAAAATTTTAATATAATATTAATCGTATACATGTTTCAATTATACAATTTATATAAGTTATGTAATTATGTAAAAATAAATTCCAATTTCTGTATTAATTCATCAATTTTCTGTTTTTTTTCCCTATTCTTATTTATCAATTTCATGAAGTATCTATGTATCTATGTATTATGTAAATTAGTAATTAGCTATTCAAATAAATTGTTTATCCTAAATCTATTCGTTACTTGTATTTTTTTAAATTTTTATTATGACTTTGGATAAATTTCAATGAATAACAGACATTTTCTTCTTTCTTTTGGTTATATGCAAATGAATTGAAACTAATGAATTCATTAAATTAAGAATTTATTTTAATTGAAAAATTTATTTTACAATTATATGTCACTATATATGTAATACTTATATTCCTATACTATACAAGCATTTAAATTTCTAAATTAGAAAGTTGAAATGAAGAAACAGAAATAAAATACTTAATTCATAATATTAATGAAATTTTGCACAATGATTTGTTCCCAAATGTAGTATCCTAAAAAATATTGCTATCTGTAGAATTTATTTCTTCTTGATCAATATTCACTGTTTCTGTAGCTGTTTCTGGAGGCAGTGACACTGACCAAAGTATAGAATCATGATTTTTTGATTGCTTTTCTTTGTGTATTAAAGACTTACTTACAACTTTATCATCTATTTGAGCAGGACATTCAAAATGAACACAATGAAAAACCTAGAAAGTGAAGTGAATAATTTTTATAAGTTTGAATAATTATTTTATCTAATTTTACTACATAAAATGAACATAGAAAGTATTTATAAATATTTGTATTTTTCATATGATTACCTCATTTGCTGTATTGTGTGTTCCAACAATACGTATAAAGACGACAGGACGAGCAGGTTCAAAGTGTATTGTTTGCCATGAACGACAAGTTTCCCTGGTTTTATCAGCAACTAGAACCCAACTCCAAGAATTACCAGACACTTCTATATAATAAGAATATGAACGATCATCGCAATCCCAAAGTAATAATCTATATGTAAATGAATATTTATTAGAACATTATATATTTTCTTATTTGTTATATGTGAAATAATAGTACCGCATAGAGTCTATAATATATGGTTGCCCAAGTTGTACTAATATAGAGCCAGATCCAACTTGATGACATGTGTAACCACTATCCCAATCATAGTTTGATGTATCTCCATTTAATAGAGCATTCCGAGATCTGAATTTAAATAATTTGTTACAACTGAATGAAATATATGCATTTGTATGTAATAACTTACATACCTACAAACACCTTCTGTAACAGTTGCACTTTGATCCATAGTAGCAACATTCCGTGTTGGAATAACAAAACCATTATAGAGCTTTTCTGTATGATTTGTATAATATGCTTCAAAGCTTACGAGATGGAAAACCTTTAACAATTAAAGTTATAAAATACGAACGTAAAAGAGAAAGATATTCGATATAACTTCAATAATGATTTTACTTTGTTTACAGTATTATTTGTTCCAACAATACGAATATAAAGAACTATTCTTGGTTCAAAATATAAATATTGCCAACTACGACAGAAGTATTCTGTATAATCAATAACTCGAATCCAATTTTTTTGATCCATAGATACCTATAAAGAAATGAGAAACAATTTATTATAAAAAATTAAACATAAATATTAATATCCAATTTCTCTTATCTTTATTTTGATCTTACTTCTAAATAGTAAGAATATGAACGCATATCTTTATCCCAAAGCAGCATTTTAACATGATTGATGATACACTGAGTTCCTAGTTTAACTAAAATACCATGTTCTCGTGATTCAGTAATAGTGTGTCTGGTATACCTGATAAAAGAATAACATTATTTTAACGAATGATTTGAAAAATGAATTTAACAACTTACCCTCGTTCCATGTCGTAATTAATTGTATCACCATCTAAAAGATAACTACGCATTTCGCCCTGTAAAACTTGAGCACCATACATAGGATGGGCAACATTTACATCGATAAGTAATCGACCACGATAATTGAGATCTGAATCACGTGTTTGTGTTCTTGCAGCTATTGCATCTAAGATTGCTTCTGGAGAAATTAATCCAGTTGGTCGAACAACATTTAAAAGATCCGTAATTGAAATTAAGTTTAATCGTACCTTATCTACAAAATTTATCTAATCAATCGATAGCATTATATAAATATTACTTTGAAAATATATTCAAAATAATTTTTTACTTCTAATGCATTTATATGTACCTAAAACACTTTTGCCATCTGCATCAGGATTTGCATTCACCCATGCTCGTACAGCTAAAAAGATATCAATTTCTGGTGCGTAAAAGGAATCTCTTGATACAAGTTCATTCAAAGCATCTGCACTTAATTGCAAAAAGCTCTCATGTTGAATTACTTCACACGCATGTTCGTCCATGTATTCATGACAAACCTAGAATAGATTAATTTTACTTTCATATACTTTCAAATATATTTTTAGATGTTATTGACGTGATAATCATACTTTAGTAAGAAATTCTAGTCGATAAAGAAGTGCCGCGCCAAATATAAGGCAAACATTTTTTATATTTAATATTTCTCTAAGGTAATCTGATATAGAGGTTTCTAATTCCGAAAATCCATAAAGATGTGCTAGTCCAAGAATATCCAATACTACCTAAAAACAATAAATTTATCAAATAAAGAAAAGAATGAAAATATTTCACAATCAATACCTCTTCGCGTCGGTCTGTAAGACACATTCGTCCTGTATATATATATTCAAGCAAGCCTTTAAATCCAGTCAGATTAGCATCTTTCAATTCAATTTCATGTTGTGTAGATTCTTTCAGACCTCCGAACAAAAGAGCTCTGAAATATTGACTGCGAGCAGCCAAAATAATTTTGTGGCTGTTGAATCTTTGTCCGCCAACAATTAAAGTGACATCTGAATAATCATCTGAGAGATAAAGAGCACCAATATCCTCAGAAAGTGTGCTAATATGATCTATATCACCAGAAGTTGGATGTTCAATTGATATGTTCAATTCATGGTGAGAACTCATTTTTTAGGTTTTGATCTTTTAAATACAAAATTGTAAATCTTTCTCGTTTCAGTTGTTTTTCTTCTTTTTCTAGAAACTTTTTCTTATTGGTAAATACAATGTTTGAGAGATACTGACAGCATGATATTCCAATATATTTAATATTTCTTTCAATATTTATTCATAAACTAATCAAAAGATAGGAAGTAAAATTAATTTTACAAAAACTTTGTAATCATTAAATACATGTAATAAAGGTAAGATTAATGTCCAACTTTTAATTTTTATTTATATTTACATGCTTAAAATATACTATGATCTCACGTTAAAATTGTGCACTTAATTTTATGGGCAAATAATTTATACAAATGTAAATAAATCTCTGTAACGTAAAAATAAAACCACATCCACTTCACAAATATATATTATATTTTACATTGAATTTTATACTATCTGTTTCTCATTAATAGTACACATCATAACATAAATATCATAAACTTACAAATACTAAAGATAGACAAATACTATAGTTAGAATGCAATGCATAATATATTTGAAGGTAATATATAAATATATTAAAAGGCTAAAAAATTTTTAAAATTAACAACTAATAATAAAGATAATAACGTAGGATATATACATAATATAATATAAAAAATATATATATGTTATGTATTTTTAGATCAAGATCTAAAGATTATTAAAGATTATTAAAAATTATCACGTTTCTAGGAATATCTAGAAAGTGCTAATCACTTTGCTTGATGAAATGCGCGAAAAATTGAATTTGAAAATATGTATAAACATTCAAGATACAAAAGTTAGCAAATTGAAAATTTTTTTAAGTTTGTTCTTGATTTTTTAATTTTTTTTCTTAATTTTGGAATTATTCTTTTAGATTTCCATGATCTGACAGTAGTTAGATTTTACTTTGAAGATAAAAAAACATTTAGTCATACTCAATAACGGAACTATATGCAAAGAAAAAGTGCACAGAATTTAAGAGAAAATGTCCTTAACAAAATTTAATCTATTATTTAAATGGGGATTTGGGATTTTTAATAGTTTGGGCTTTTCCAAATTTTGATTATTTCGCTCTGGTTTATAATTCTATTAATATAACTTCTTTTTGAAAGTAGCAAAAATTATTTCACTTTTTCGTTCTCGTTTGATTTCTTATTTTAGTAATAAAATAAACCTTTTATTGAAGAAATGCTAACAAAATAGCCAAAATAGCCAAAATTGAAAAAAGCTATTAAACTAAAAATTTACCTTATCTAGAATCAAATATCTTTTTAAAAAAACAAATCATCCTTTAAAGATTGTGTACGACTTGATCAAAACTTTTAACTTACTGTAATTTTTGACAATTAAATCCAGAGTTTTCCAATTTCCTTGAATTTAATCCTACATTCAATTTTTGAATAACACATAGATGTATTTTACATTTCCGACATAAAGCCATATTCACGCGTAGCATATTCCATTTTAAATATAAATTATAATATGCATAAACAAATTATGTCGTAGTATATATGATATATTTAAAGATATTATAACATTTGTAAATTTATCATAAGGGAATTAAATACATCATATGATTATAAATGTTCTAATGGAAAAATTACATAGCATTGTTTTTATTTAGCATTGTTTAGCATTGTTTCTATTTCTGCATATTTCTGATAATATAAATATTAATTTTTAATTTATTCTGTTTTGATGATATAACAAGATAATGTATATGATTAGGTTTAGGTTAGGTCTTAATAATATTTGTGCTCTTTCGTCGAATCTGTATGTTATATTTCTAATGGTGTAAACGAATTACATAAAAATTACCCGGTAATTGTTGGGGATTGATAGTTTTAGCAGCTGTGTTTTTTTAAAGTACGAATGTTAAAGGAAAAACAGATATAGTTGTAAAAATACCTTTCTTTTAAGAAAATTCCATAATGACAAAAGGTATTATCTTATTCGATTACAAGTATCATATAAACATTATTTCGCTAGGTTAAGCTATTTAATCTTTCTGTTATCGTATATTAATTGAAATTATCTAATATTTATACATTAAATTAATTGTATCTTTTAGCGATTTTTATAATGATACGATTGAATCTGGTATAATGTTATTTAAATATTAGATTCAAATGAAATATTCGTAGAACAAATAGTGCAACTCAAATTTAGAATGTTTCAAATATAAATTTAATGAAAACAGCACCTTTTCACCAAAGTGTCTTGAAATAATTTTTTTATTAATTTATAATATAATATAATTTTAATTTATTTTAATATTTTAAGTGATACTAATAAATATATAGACATGTATTGTTACAAAAGTAAAAATGAACGTAGTGTATATTTGATAAAACTTGATTTAATTAATCTTACATCAAATAGTAAAAATAAATAAAAACTATCATGATCAATCAAGTGAAACTTTGATAATTTTTTAGACGAAACATTAGAGAAAAAATCAGTGGAGAATAATGACACTGATAAAAAGACTGCGTCTGACTCTGGTCCTGATCCATCAGCACCAATAACTAGAAGAGGAGTGTTAACATCATTCTTGACTGGCAAGCCAATGGAAATACCAGAACAAGATATTGTAAGATTTAATCTATGATTTTCATTTTTGTTATATTCATTACAATATAATACATTGTTCTATTGTTTTTTTTTATAGTTGGGTAAATGCAGATTTGTGTCAGAATTTGAAAAATTAAATCGTATAGGAGAAGGTACCTATGGTATTGTTTATAGAGCAAGAGATACTAAAAATGATAAAGTTGTAGCTTTGAAAAAGGTACGAATGGAACATGAAAAGGATGGCCTTCCGGTCAGTGGTTTAAGAGAAATATCTGTTCTTTTGTCTTGTCGTCATGAAAATATTGTACATTTGAGGGAAGTGGTAGTAGGAAGAAGTTTAGAAAGCATATTTCTTGCTATGGAATATTGCGAACAAGATTTAGCAAGTTTATTAGACAATATGCAAGCACCATTTTCAGAAAGTCAAGTTAAATGTATTGTATTACAAGTATTAAAGGGTTTACGTTATTTGCATCATAATTTTATTGTACACAGAGATTTGAAAGTTTCAAATCTCCTTATGACGGATAAAGGATGTGTAAAAATTGCTGATTTTGGATTGGCAAGATGGTTTGGTTTGCCTTTAAAACCAATGACACCAAGAGTAGTAACATTATGGTATAGAGCACCAGAGTTGTTATTACAGGCAAAAACTCAAACAACTTCTGTTGATATGTGGGCTGCAGGTTGCATTTTAGGTATAGTGTTTTTGCATGTTTTTATTTATAAGTGTATTAATTTATATAAATACAAAGCAGTAATAAAATAATTAAAGTAAATAAAAGTAATAAAATAATTAAAGTAAATAAAAGTAATAAAATAATTAAAATAAATAGAGTTTCATTGCGTACATATTTTTATTAGGAGAACTTCTTGGACATCGGCCTTTATTGCCTGGACGATCAGAAATAGCGCAGTTAGAATTAATTGTTGACTTATTAGGCACACCAAGTGAAGCAATTTGGCCAGAGTTTAATACACTTCCGGCATTGCAAAATTTTACATTAAAACAACAACCATATAATAATTTAAAACAAAGATTTCCATGGTTGAGTGCTGCTGGTTTGAGATTATTAAATTTCTTATTCATGTATGATCCAAAGAAAAGAGCTACTGCAGAAGAATGTCTACAAAGTAGCTATTTTAAAGAAGCTCCTTTACGTAAGTAATAGAGCGATATATGTATTATTATTATAATATTTTTAAATTGCCAATTATCATCGAGTTTAATCTTTTTTAGCGTGCGATCCCAAACTTATGCCTACTTTTCCACAACATAGAAATATGAAAAAAACTGCACCTCCAAAAGAGACTAGGGAACCAGAGACAAATGTTACAGATCAAACTAATAATTTGCCTGCAATTTCAGATCTTGTAAGATCATTATATATTTCATTATGTATTAAAAAGACATCCTAAAATTAAAATTAATATTTTTTTCAGCTTGGTTCACTTGTTAAGAAAAGGCGAGTGGAATGAATGAAAAACAAGATTTTACTTATTCTCAGAATTTTTATACCTTTCATTCTCAATGTACGAATTCATTCATAAACAGACTTTCAAATAAAACGACTTTATTAATAAATACTGGAAAAATAGTTCAAAAAATATGTTTTTGTTAATGAAAACTGTATATATATATTTTTATTTTAAATGTATTCGTTTAATAATATTTGTAATACGAAATATTTGATAAATATAAATATGACGATACCATACTGACGACCGCAAGATGTTCATAACTTATTAACATCTTGCGGTCGTCAGTATGGTATCGTCATATTTATATTGGTACTTCGATCTGTCGATGGTATGGTGTTATCAATCGTTTGGCAAAAAGTTGAATTTTATTCTAACAAGTGTTCGAATGTTTTAGCTTGAGTTCTTTTAGATATCAACAATTGTATAATCAGGAATGTACTATATTGCGTACTATGTTGCGAATCGCAAAGTATTAACATAAAATAACAACAAGATTATTATCAACTATACATATATGTATTTGTATATGTTTACGTTTATTATTTTTGTTATATTTTTATTGTACAAATCTTATAAATTTATTCTTTACGTATATAGAAATTCAATTGTTTTTGGTAGAATGTAATACATTTTCGTAACGTTTTTTGTATTCACCACTTGAATCATATTTTGCGGAAAGTCGTTCCCAATCTTTCGGTCTTTTAGTTCTTAGATAATTTACTACTTTATTCGCTGTGCGTTTCTGCTTTTCATTGCATTTACTGCAACCCGTAGACAAAGCGTCGGGTAAAATTTCTGAAACAATAAACAAATAAATCATTTAATACTTGTGCAATTCTATCGTGAAATTTTAATACTATAATACATTTTAATTTAATACACAACATAATTTTTTATTATAAATAATATGAACATGAACTTTTATCATTTATTACATTATACATAATCTTGTTATTTATTAATAATTAATAATTTATCAAAGAAATTCAATTATTTTTTATGTGAAAAACATATAAATAGGTAATGCCACAAATTGTTAAAATAAATCGTGGCAGGAGAGTAATTCTAAACTTGAAACAGGTTTGTCTAATCTCAGATTAGACAGAAGAGGCTTATCTTTCAAATTTGATTTTCTCGAAAATGAAGTCTTAAGTAAAAAAATATTTCTTTCCTATTTTTGCACCATAGTTTTTCGATCACACCACGATTTTACGGACACTTTGTATATAAATTTATATACTGAAAAGAATTTTTTTGCTGTTGTCTTTATTTGAAATCAACATGAAATAAGTTATAGAATTATAGAATTTTTATGTTCTTCTAGTGTTTTTCAAGACTATTTTTAAGATATTATTTAGAAAATACAAATGATTATTATTATTATAGACGTAAAATATTCAAAATTATTTCTTTATATTATTTTTTATTTAAATACATATTTACAGTATATCATGTATAGTTTAAGTACATGGGGATTACTATTTCTCTATTGAAGATTCGAAAAAATATTTTAAAGTAAAATTATAATAAATTAAAATAAATTTAACAGTAAATTAATATTATTATACACATACTGTTGAATTCGTATTGACATGTGTAATAAAATGATAATAAAAAAAAATTTCACTAATCTTGAATAATCTTTGTAAATTCGAACATTCCATTAAGTTCTCTCTGTGAAACAAAAGGAAAACTTATGTAAAATATTTTTTCATATTTTCAATAGTTGCGGACAGAATATATACGCATTTAACCGAACATATTGTATATATGTATGTATAATAACAACTTAGACGTTACTTAACAGAGTTCGATGTAATCCAAACGAGAAAGTTCAAAGCAACTTATGTAATAAAGAGAGGGAGAGCGAAAATTGAACTCTGTCGTAATCGTTGCAACAGATATATACGTAGAAATTTCGAAAAGAAATCGGTGTAACTTTTGGTCATGTTGAATAAAAAAATAAAATTGCTTCGTTAGTTATAAAAATAAATATCCATTTATAAATTTTACTTTTAATTTATATCTTATTTTAATTTAATTTATATCTTAACTTTTAATTCATATCTTTTCCTTTTTATTTCTAAAAGTGGTCAATTATGAATGTTGAGAAAGAAGAAACTAATAAAATATTTAAAAAGAAGATGCATATTACATTTTAAATCAAGTTCGAGATAGATATTTTTTTTCTTTTTTTTTTGCTAATGTTAAGATAATTATATTTAAAACATAAAAATGTTAAAAATAATATATTACATGTTTCTTCCACTTTTATACAGTAATATTTACATGAATTAACATCATATATGTATTTCTTATTAATAATTCATCTGTTCAGCAGAACTTGAACATTTATCAAGTAATTTGTCAATACTTTTAAGTAACATTTTTATTTAGAAACTAATACTTACGACAAGTATTCTGGGTTATATTTCAATATAAACAATTGTACGCACACTTTTACATCTATCGTATCTTTTACAATACATCGACAAACTTTAAAAACTATACTATTCATACCTATTTATGCTTTATGTCGCATGTTTTACATGTATACGATCTGTTATAAAAGTTGTCCTGAATTATTTAATAACATTAGTGAAATTGTATCATCAAGTACATTAGAAATAATTAAATTTGAATAATTAAATGTTATAATCTTATAAAAATAACACTTACTTTTCAATTCTCTGCCTTCGTTAGTACAGGGTCCTTCGTCCAGCATACATTTGATGTAATTGGTGAGGATGCGACCATTTTGTAGAATTCTATCTACATCTACATCGTCGTATTTGGTAGTATAATCTTCTGCTGTTGCACAAACGATCGCGATCAAGGCAAACGATAGAAGATAAATCTTCATATTGTAATTTCAAGAAGTAAAATTTTATGATGACTATACCGATAGGAATGGCAGAAAAATGAAAGAAACGATACGAATTACTCCGTTTAGTTTCAACTGAATGAAAGTCAGCAATAGATGATAATTTAAAAAAGCAAAATTTGAATTTGAAAGCTACCCTATGCGGCTGAAAGTAAAACGCTCTTTGTAACAGTTGAAGCCAGCTGTCGAATTATATAGCTGAAGACAGAGGACATTGGAGGGAGTGGATAAACGCGTTAGTCGAGTATTTTACACGCACCTCCACGAGATGTATACTACTGTATAGCAATAATTGAATGTAGATATGTACATATGTACATATGTACGTGAGTAGTAAACAATAATTTGTAAAAAATAAATAAAATTATACCGAGTGGATTTCATTTATGTGAATTATTGATTATCATTCCACGCTTTCCATCTCTTTAAATTTTTCAAATTAATCGATTAATTTCATATATATTTGTTTAAAATTGTACGTAAAATACACTAGCGTTATAGAAATGCATACATAGTCAACATATGTAGCTACAACTGCGTGCTATCTAGAATAATGAAGAGATCCTTCGGCGTGAAGAATGATCAAGTATTTACGTTGCATACCTTGTCAAGGACAATTCAACAATAATACGATATTGGAACTATACATCTGAAAACTTCTGCAATTATTTTTTTCAAGGGTCTTCAGAAAATTCTGAATCGGTATTTACATATTCATTATCAAACATTGTACATTAATACGATGACAAAATCGTTTCTGAAACATTAGAATTGCAAAACTGACTTCTAATTTTTTATAAAAATTCTTTTATAAATTTACAATAATTTTTTGAGATTCGACTCGTTTCTCGGAAAATATATAAATAAAAACTTGTATCCTCTATTATATTATTCTTTCATATTTTCTATTATTCTATTATATTATCCTTGTACTTCAATTTTTCTGATGCTAGCTTTTTTTTAAATTGTCGGTAGTGTTAATATGATTTTGTGCGAAATGACAATATATTTTAAAAAATAAAATTTATATTTTTACAAATAAAATTGAATATTAATTATAAATTATAAATTTTATTATAAATTGTAACTAATTATAAATTTTATTAAAGAAATTGAAATTGTTTAAAAATAGCAATTATATAAGTTAATTTTTCGTATTATTGTAACATGCATTACTAATTGTATCTTAATACATTGAATTTTATGAGATTGTCAAAATTATACTAATTATTTTAAAAGAGATATGAAATAATATGTTTCTGATTATTCATAATTTACCAAATACTAATACTAATACTAAAAATACAGTATATTTTGACACTAACGGGTAAAAAATAATTTCATTCGTGTTATATTTTGTCCAAAAAATTCAATATTACGAATATAACATAATAAAGGTTGTATTCAAATTTAATGTAAAATGTAGATAATAAGAATTACATATTCAAGGTTTTTAATAGTAAGATTATTAAGATCAATAATATTCAAAGTTTTTAACATTGAAAATATTAAAATTAATATTAAGATTATTAATATTGAAAGTTAGTTATTATTGTGAAAAATTTCTCCAAAAATTTCTCCAGTCTTTTTATAATTTTTTTCAGGAATGTCCTCTTAATTGATTGTTCCATTGTCAAATATTGTTTCCCTATGGCATCCTTATTATTTCGTCGTTTTATAATATTGTAGAATCAATCGCCATTGATTGGGATAATTTTGTTCCATAAAGATCATCAACTTATTTGCTAGTGCAGCTTGTCGAGATGTACACTTTCTACAATGATTGTTCACTGCTTCTGGCAACAATGCTGTAACAATCGTAATGATAATTTATATATAATATGAGCGAATTATTAATTCTGAATACGACCTTCTAAATTTGCATGCTAAGAAGAAAAATTGTTGATTTTGCTTAATATATCTTCCACTTGATAAACATTATTCGCATATTCGATTAATCATAACAACACAGATTGTAATAATACACACCTGTTGTGACGACAAAGCAAAACTGCCGAAAGTAAACCTTGATGATTCTTATTTTCGTTTCTTGATTTGTTTATTATACTTTTCAAACGTAACGTTACATATTTTCAACATAGAAATATTTGATATTTATTCTTTAATTATTAAATTATTATACAAGGAAAATATTGTTAATGAATCAATATTCTTCTTTCGACGCACATTTATTATTTATTACAATATATGTATTTTAATTAAACGTTTACAGTTTACACACATAAATTTTTAGCGAAATAATTATAGTAAATTATAAGATAAGAAATAATTATAGTAAACTATACTAAAACTTAATTGTGTGTTTAACTTTTTCATTAAATTGATTTTTATAATCAATGATTCCATGACATAAAATCTATAATATATATATAAATAATACAAATGATATAAGTAAGTACGTTCACTGTTACTCTCCGTTTGAATTGAAAAACCCAGAACGTTTCAACTCTGTTTCAAAAGAATATGTTAAACAGTTTAAGAATTTTCCAAAATTTCCAATTCGAATTTATCCAAAAATTTAAAGATATATATATATATATATATACAATTTATGATAAATATAAATATATAATACACTTATTATAAATATAAGTATTGTAATGCATAATTGAGGTGAATTATTTTTACTACGTTTTCACTGCGACATTTCATTAATTTCCTTACTTGAATTAAACAAAAAAATGGACAAACAAAGAACGCCGAAAGTCTAATAAACAACATAAGCATATTTTGTATCTTACCTATAATTTTCTTTCCAATCGCGTCGCATTCTTTTATCTTTAAGACACAATCGATTTGTTTTAGTACGTATGATCTGTCCATTAGAAAATTTGAAGTTGTATCTCTATGCGCTTCGGTAAAGCTCGTCAATATGAAAATGGTGAAAAGAAGAAGTATCTGTACTTTCATTTTCAATCTGAATGTAGAGAAAGAAAGGAACAAATAGATTATTCTTACTCTGATTCGTCGTGTCTGTCGTGTATTATTGGAAACAAAACTGATTATATGTATTTCAAATATCGAAATTTGACCTCATATTCTATTGTCTGTTTGAGGATGATAATTGTATGTAAACAAACATAGAATTCGATTTTATGCTGCTTTTTAAATATAAATATATACTTTTTTAAAAGTAATTGCAACCGGATAAGGGATGATTTCTCATGAAAAAATAAATCGAAAGTGTAGAATGAAATTTAAGACTTTGTTTTCGAGGAAACCCAGTTTGAAAATTTATCAAGCATTCTTGAATTTCTAAACATAATTGAGGAAAATAATTAAGTTATTCTACAAAAATAAGTCAAAAACGTATAATAAAATTTATTTATTTAAAGCTTCATCTTCAAGAAAGTAGACTTTGAATATTTTCGTTAAAAATTGCCACGTGTACTTGATAAATTTTAAAATTGGACTTCCTCAAAAATGGAAAAAATTAAAATAAAAAAAAATTTATTCTTTTTTTTCGAGTTATTTTTTTGTGTAGAATCATTCCCTCCTTGATTGTACATCCGATATTCTGTATATCTATAGAAAATAATTTTGAAAATGCTCCATATTAATATGCAATTTTGTAATTCTATCAGAAATATCAAATATTATATATATAATTCAAATTTATATATATATATATAATTTTATTAAATTTATATATATAATTCAAATATATATGTATATATATATTACTTTTTGAATCAAATATGTGTACTCCGCTTAAATCTTAGATCATTTTTACTTTTAATATTTAGTATACTTGTCGTGGATTGCGTGTACATTTTATAATACAATATAATATAATAATACTATAATATACTATAATATATAATGTTATATAATACAATATATTAATATATTCACAGAGTCTTTACTGTATAAAGTATGTTTTATATTTATATAAATTATGTTATATAAAGTATGTTTTTTTATTGTATTTAATTATATATTATATATTATCGTTATTCATTATATTTCAATTATACATCATATACTATGTATTATTTATTATTGTAAATACAACAATTTATATTATATATTGGATGTTGTGTATATAATTTATATTTTTATATTGTGCAATTTATATTGTAGATATTGTATTTATTGTAATTTATAATTTATATTTATATTTAAATTATAAAATTATTTATAACTTTTATTTTCATTATACAAATGCAGTGCTAACTTGTCTTAAGATTTCTGAATGGGGATGTATGTAATAAGACATGTACAGACTGTGATTGTTAATTGTGTTATAATTAAAGACTGCAGATTTTTATGTATTTATGTAAAATTTAAAACTGCAAAAATGCACAAAATGTATATAATATGCGTATAATATGAAGAATATATAAAATATCCAAATATATAAAGTTATTAAAATATCTAATAAATAAAATATAATTCCTGTTTCTTTAATTTTAATCTTAAAAATTTTAATTTACATAAATATCCGCTATCTAATTACAATGTTACTTCATGTAATAATTGTTATTTCTATAAAAAAATCAAAATCATATTTTATTTACTGTAACGGCATTTAAATTTTCCGCGGAGTTTTGCGGAGAAAAAAGTAAGTAGCCATAGTTGACGCATCATACGAAATTCAGTAATCCATATATATACATCATATAAGGACTGTAGTTCCATTATAAACGCGTACAACGAAAGAATGTATTTTAGAACACAGTAGAAATATAAATTAAAGGAACAGATAAGAATTAGTCCTCTATTGATAGTAAACGGAATTGTCAATCGTTTTACATATATTTATAGAAACATAACAAATACATAATAGCAATGACTAAAAATCGTCTCCATAATACAGAAGATGATATATCTTTTGAACCAAAACTAACAAGAGCAAAGGCCAAGTATAGTTTGATAAAATATATTATACATTTATATAATAATAGTACGATAATTGTACAATAATTTCATTGAATAAAAATATTCTATAATTAATACAGAGAATTAGCAGCCGCTCAAGTTAATATACCATGGCCAATTACTCCGGTGAAGAAGACTTCATCAGAAGTACAAGTGTTAATCGAAGAAGAATTACCAGAAGATTCATCTGATGAAGAATACAATCCAGAGCAAGAATCACCTGATCCTCAGATTGATCCTGAAGGAATTTTCAAGATTCCTGGGTAGATTAACATATTTAAGAAATTTTTAAATAATATATATAATGATATAAATTATACTGATAGAATCCTAATTTCTTTAATATAATTTTTTTTAGGATTCCTTATGTTCCAACAGAAGAAGAAAGTATTGGTCAAAGAACTCGTTCAAAAGTTTGTTTAAGTGAAACACCTTTGGAACAAATTGAACAAGCGTTCATACCACCAGATATAACCACTGATATGTATGACTTAGATTGCGAACTAGATGAAGATTGGGATAATTTCTTAAAAGAATTTACTCAACCATTAACTCAAGAACCAATAGTGGAAGATGATTCGGAAGCAGATCCAGAATATAATATTTTAGATGAAGAAACAGAGTTTTGTATGTATAATAAAAAAAGATATACATAGTGTAGTCCTTCAATAGACTATTAAATAAATTTATAAAATATTAAAATAATTTAAATATATTTACAGTGGATAAAGAAGAATTGAGAGCTGACAAAGCTGTAAAAATTACTCGCAAAGAATTGAATAACTTGATTGCAGAATTATTTGAGTTTACAGACATGTTTTCAAAACAAGAACAAGAGATTTCAAAAAAAAGAAGGTCTCCAGAAAATACAAATTTTTCAAGTGAAAACAATATTATGGTAAGATAGTAGCATAATTACTGTACTTAACATTCGGACGGTATCCAGGTTCATTTGCACTCTGCTATAGACATACAACATTTAATAATCCGTGCGAATCATTGTTTATTTATGTTAAAACTATAACAAAGGCACTATTTCTCAAAAGATGTATTCAATTTTAAGCCAAAAAAAAAGCATACAGTTGGTTCAAACGGACTTAAACACTGTCACTTACGTAGTTGCTCGATAGATTTCCGTCCGAGTGTTAATTAAAAATACAATTTTATTGCAATTTTAATTGTGGAATTTAGAATTGTTCTGTAACAGATTTATTACCTACTTACAAAGAACCTGAACTTCTCAATTCAATGAATTCAAATCAACAAGAATTGTTGGCAGTTCAATTTCGACAACATGTACAATTAATGGTGCAACATTTTGCTATGACATATATGCATCCAGACTTACATTTGCAATCAAAAACATGCAAACAAAATCTAAATAGTATAAAGTAAGTTTACAATCAGTTTGTAAATAAATGTGTATTAAATATGTATTGAATTTGTATTAGATACTTGACTAATGGACCTAATTCTGCATTCAATGTGGCAAATTTACCAGATGCTTTAAAATTAGTATCTGATTGGGAAAATAAATTTTTGGATAATAAATTTTCTGAGGATTTCAAAAAAATTATGACAGATGAAGAAGCAGTAAAAAAAATAAATAAATGTAAATATATTCCTAAATTTTATCCAGAATTACAAAAATTATTTATGGAAAGTAAAGCTTTGATGTATCCACAACTCTTGCCTGAAATGCCGTTCAGAAGTGAATTAAATAAGTTTATGCGGTCTCCATATTTAAGATCAGAAGAAAAGTAAGTGAATAATATATAATGTAAAAAAAAACATATTATGGATATAGTATAATGGTTTGCTTTTTTAGTTTAATTGCATTGGGTTTAGAACAGTTTCTTCCTTTTGTTGCATCTAAATCAAGAAAATTTAAGGGTAAAAATCTTCAGTTAGCTGATGCAGTAAAATTAATTATTCAATATTTAGTACCATGTAGAGAACCTGAAGGATTATTATATCACATCAAAAAATGTCGAAATGCAAAAGATGCAAATCCAATAAAAGTAAATAATATATCTATAAGCAATATGATATTTTCAATTTAATAAGATTTGATTAAACATATGTTTTCACAGCATTATTTTGAAAAGAATTGTGCTCCTAGAACAATACATTATATAACGTTGGAATGTGATCTGAAAGCACCTAAAAATCAATCAATAAATCTGTTACCTTTAATTTGGCAAACTTACCTTAATAATGTAAGTAATTAATGATTAATTTATAAATATTTATATACATATTCGATGTTTTATATTATTACATTTTCTTTTTATTTAATAGTTTTATTATTTTAGTTATTTTTCATACAGGACGTGGTACTTAATTATCTTAATTTCCATCATTATTATTATAAAAAAATGTAACTCAATGTTCAAAGATAAATATCCTATAAAACATCGAATGTATCTCCCTTAAAATATTTTTTGCTACAATAATATTGATATGAATTACGTGTCTGATCTTATAGTTACATGTTTGTAATGTTATATTTGTTCATATAGACGAAAGAGAGAATTGATATGATAAAGCGAAAACATAATCTTAATTTGTATAATGATATAAATAAAGATTGTGTTATAAATGGAAATGGAAATAGAAACCAAATTACTATTTCTAAAGCTCACTTTCTTTGTGCACAAAACCAGCCTGTTAATACATTATCACATATATTACCTGCAAATAATACATTACCAAAAATATTACCTGCAAATCAGAAAACAACTAGAAACACATTAAAAAATAATTTATGCACAGATGCAAATGCTAATTCTGAAGTCTTTAAGAATATATCAAATAATGGAGATAATATTAAATCACATAATATATATGCATTAAATAAAGAACGTTCATTGCATCATAGTAATTATTTAAAAATTATAACCACACAAGAAGAAAAAGGGAACCAGAAAGATATGAATGAATTAAAAGAAGTTCAAAACGATATATCCACAAATTCAATTACCTTAAAACATTCGAAATTTCCTAAAAAATCTGAAATAGTACAAGAATTACCTCAATTGCGGAAGACTACTCCTAGATTAGCAAAAACAAAAAGTGCTCAAAATATGAAATTAATGGCTCAAGTATTAGGACCAAAAGGTTTATCTAATTGCAATGCCTTAAAATCCAGAGAAAAAAATGATGTAAATAAAAATATAGAAAAATCATCAGATTCGTCTATGCTTGTAAGTAAAATTATCATTGATTTCAAGATTAATGTTGAATAAAATAATAAAATTAACATTTTTAATATTTCATTATAGGACAATGAAGATGAAATAGCAGAACTAATGTTAGCTAGCACGACTATTAAAAAAGATTATATTAGTAGAAAGAAAGCTAAAGAAGCTAGGGAATTAGAAAACATTAAAAGACTTTTGGAATCAGAAAATCCATTAAATGAAGAAGAAAGAAGTTCAAGTACGTGCTTATCCAATAACTTTAATACATTTTATTTAATTTATTTTAGTTTAATGTAACATTAATTTGTATTATTTTATATAGAGTTTGCAGCATCATACTTTCAGAAATTACACTTGACATTAGAATCTAATAATCCAGCAACATTACGGTCCGTAATAAAATTATATTTAGATTATTATGAAAAATTAGATAACATTAATCAGATGGAAAACGAATTATCATTTTCGAGCTCAGCAAGATCTTTGCATACTGAACGAATTATGAGAAAAGCTGCAAAAGATACAATAACTATTAATTTATATCACGATATATGTAAAAATTTACGGGAATATCCTGAGCTTTGTACAGATTTTTTATTGTTTTTGAAACCACATCAAGCTGCAATGCTGGATAAATCAGTAGAGTATACAATGCTTCAAAAGATGAATGAATTTGTTAATGTAGCTCAAATATATTTTGCTAAACAACCTTCTCGGATAGCAAAAATGATGCAAGCTATTACACAACTTTCATCTAATCCACAGACAACATTAGAGCATATTCATGCAACTATGAGTTCTATACTCAAAGGACATCCTTTGATTATGGATTTATTTTTACAAATATTACCAACTGCTAAGCCTCCAGAAAGGTAATGCAAATAATAATGTTATTATATATATTAATGAAAAGAAAATTGTAGATATTTATTATCTTATAGTTTGTTTGCATCGCACATGTTTGAAAACTTAACGTGTCCAGTGGGGCCATATGATAAAAGTAAAATTTATTCCGAAGATGCACCTGAATTATATGAAAATATAGAACTGCCTGTCTTATCATTTCAAGAAGATCCTTATGGTGGAGAAAACTGTAAATGCAACTGTCATAGTAGTGATGAATCCAGTTATAAAAATATTTCTGAACATTGCGTGTCTTGTGGCACAAGGGTACGTAAAATTTTTTGTTATTTATTTTTTTACAACAATAATTTTTACAACAATCTGAAATATGCAATGAAGTGAAGCAGAATATAAGAATGAATTATAATTAATTATAATAAATGTACATCAAATGTTTATTAATAACTTTTTAAAATAAAAATTAATGTTTCATATGTTTCATTATGGAACTGTTTAACATATTTTTAATAAAAAAATTTATGATTTACATAAAAAAATAGTTCCTCAACGGGAAAATTTACCTTCAAACATCTGAAGGTTTAAGACCTGCAAAAATTATTTTTCCTGGAGCTGAAGAAGAAAAATTGGAAAATATTGCACGTGTATCTTTAAAAACTACTGATAAATTTGCTTTATCCATTTCATCCAAACAACGAAAGAAGTCTTCAAAGAATGAATTTCATGCTGATGAACAATATCAAAAATCTTGCATAGTAAAAAATTCACCTGTCAAAGAAAACGAAGAAGGAGAAAAATTAATTATAAAAGCTAAAAGGACTATAAAATCTCCATCAAAATCTACAGATCAGAAAAAAGACTTAAAAAGATCTAGGAATGAATTGAATCATATAAATAGAAATACGAAAAAAATGCGTATATCTCAATGTAAAACTAAAAATGAGAAAAAAATTGACAAACAAGAAATAAAATTGGAAAATTCAAATGTCGTTCCTGATGTGAAATCGGATGAATGTTTGTTTGTCAATTATAAAAACTCTAAGGAAATAATAGAAAATAATACGTCAGATGTGGAAATAAAAATGTCGAATGATAATGTAAGCAAGATTGATTCATCTCATGAAATTAACAATATTGTTGATTCAAATACTAATCTAAACACTAAGTCATGGACACGACAGGAAGATATGATTCTATTGCAAACTGTTAAAAAAGAATATTCTGAAAATTCACTTGTTTTGGTTAGTAAAACATTAGGAAATCGTACAATTGATCAAGTAAGTCTGTATATATTATACTCTTGAATATGTATATTATTAATTTCACTTTATTCTCTATTTTGAATATTTATATTATATATTTAATATCTTTCTATAGGTCAAAGAAAGATGCGAAATACTGCTCTCTTTATTAAAAAAAATGATGTAATTATCTTTATTTGAAAAAGATATAATGTTATTAAATTTTAGTTCAAAATTCCACTGAGTAAATATATGCCAAATAAATATGTAATGATAAAATATGTATTTTACGATCTAAAAAATCATCAGCTTTTAAATTATAAACTTGTTTCCGCCAATTATATAAATGACTTCGTGTTACAAAACTCATAATAAGAAAATCCAAATATGTAAATAGAAATAAGCAAGTGCGAACAATATTCAACTAAATAGCAGTACATGCATGTATGGAAATTAGGGTATGAAATTAGATTATTTATAATTCTTATAACTTTAATTTTTCAATTTTATAAAAAACTATGTATTTAAATTTTTGCAGCACGAAAAAGCAGTAATTGAAAATTAAAAAATATAAAGGAAATATATTTCATTATTTATTTGATTGAACATGTTACAGAAGAATAATCATAAATTATGAATTAAATATAAAAATATAAATTATATTCCTTTTCAATTTTATAAAATCTTATAGAAATAAATAAAATGAGTTTATGAAAAGAACTGTTTTTAAAATATTATTAAAATTTATTTAGATGTGTATTTCATAAAACAAATTATATATCTATTCTATTTCACAAATTATATATGTTTATATTTATGTATATAACATACACAGCATACATATGTATATAAAATTTATTTACAAAATGATATGCCTTACAAGTTTTTGAATTAATTATATTTGTTAATCTATAAAATATTACTTCAATAACATAAAACAAAAGAAATGCTCATTAAATAATAGCAATAACTATTTCTTTTTAATAGTTCAAAGAACTATTTCTTTTTATACATATAACATTTATTATATGTTTAAAAATATATAAAAGAATAAATATATTAAATAATATTAATGTCCTATTTTGTATAATTATATATATATATACACTATCTATGATTTTTTATTTGTTTCAAAAAACAAAAATTTGAAAAGTCAATTCATTTATTTATCTACCCAAAGTTAAATATAAGTTTATAATTTATATAAATTGTTTCCCTTATACTGTATGATTTTATATGTGAAGAAAATCAAATTTTCAGACCGATCCATAAAATTCCATAAAATTGACAAAGAAAACCATTATTAACACATTTAAAATTATATGCCAAATTTAATACAAATTAAAATTTTAAAAATCCAATTGGGTAAAAATTTGAAATAATTCAGTCTTATTTTATTCAATTTTAAGAGTTATAAGAGTATGAGAATTATTTATTTTTGTAAAATAATTAAATAACTATTTATTTTAAGTATATAATTATGTTAATACATTTAAAAAATTTAATCAAAATTAAAATATTTTAATTAAATCTTCTAAATTTAACAATGTTATATAACATTATTAATTAAAAACTGAATTGTTTTATATAAAAAGTAAAATTTTATATATGAGACACAACTTGTTCAATATATTATACAAAGTACAAATAGTCCAGTATTTATTATCATAATGACTTTTATATACATGAAACAATCTTTAACAATGAAAATTTCATAAAAATGACGTAACATAAATATTTATATGTTACATTACTAATTTTTATGAAATTTCATTTTTGTCTCTTACATTTTTTTACATCTATCTTAATAATAAATATAAATGTGGTAAATGAAACATAAAAAGAGTATACAAATATTTTTTTGCTTTCCAAAATCTGAGAAAATTACAATATTACCATAATATGTACATTTGATAAATTATTTTATCACAATGTGGAACGTCGTTGTAATTGATTTGATCTATAATTTTTATTTGTGTATATTGTAGGCAAACGTACAAATTACGTGAACTGTATTCACATAATATATGTGTATAGATATTTTGTAAAGATTAAAATTTTTTTTTAACTTTTGTACAAATTATTTGCGCAATACATCTATTAAAAAAAAATTTAATATTTTAAAGAACTTCCATACTGTCTATGTCTATTCCAATGTCAAGAAAATCGTCATCATAATTTTGAACATGCCTTTGATGTTCTGAATGATCTGGATCATCTGTTACAGGACTAGGAGGCGGATTAGTCATTGTCCGATCAGAATCGACTGGCATTCTATCCATTCCCTCTCCACGTCTTAATCTGGCTTCTTCTGCTATTTCTCTTGTAGAAAGTTCTGCCTTTGTTAATAAGGCAGGAAGATCTTTTTCTGAACCATCTAAAAATATTTTTATTAAGAAAAAACTCTTTTTATCGTGTAACAGATAACTTACTTTCGAGACACTTTATCAATTCTTGTGATTTTTGCCTTTTCGCAGCAGCATTGGCTTTCCTCTGTTCGGTGTGTTCTTTTTTATCATAATCAAAAATCTCTCTTATTTTTTCTCGTGGTATATGTTCATCATTTTTCACTAACCACAAATATACACCTCCTGCAGTTCTTCTTCTAGATCCGTTCATTATTAACATACCACCTCCTTCTTCAATCTTTTTGGTTTTTTGAAAAAAATCAATGGCTTTCTCCTTACCAATAATATCTACAATTCTCCCTACAAAATACACAAGTTTAAATAACTATACATGTGTATCATTTAGTCCAAGATAACATTAGATTCCTTACTTATAAGAAGATCTTTTTTCTCATTAAGTTTTGACGTTATATCAATTGCCACAGCTGCGTCAGTTGATTCGACCGTTGTAGTTAAATCTGCTATCTTTCGTGTAATTCCCTTTTGATTATCTATGTCCATTAGATTACGTTTTTTTCCTAATCTCAACCTAACATTACTCCTATCTGAATTTGTTCTTTTATTTGTTAACCTTTTGTCCCCATCTTTTTCATCTTCTGAACTATTATTGTTGCGATGTTCTGTATTCCACGTACCATTGAAAGAATAACGATGCGGAATGTTATAACTTTCAACGCTGCGTTCTTGATTCTGTTTTTTCGTTACACCGCATAATATTAAATTTTCTGTTAAAGATTCCTCTTGTAATTGTGTACACCATATTTTATATTTGTCACGTTTGTCCAAGCAATTTTTTGTCATACTTCGAGATCTTCTCAGTTTTAATTTAGGTCTTTTGCTTTTGATATGTCCAGAATCTGAATCAGAATCGCTTTCAGAATCCGCAGAATCATCAGATTCATCACTATAGCCCATTTTTATATTCTCTTCTTTATTTGGAATTGCATGAGGTCTTTTCAGAACATTATACGTTTCAATATCGCTTGCCTAAATAAAAATATATTATAACAATTAACAAATATACTTTATTATTGTAAAAATAATATTTACATTTAGCATTTAAAAATATGGTTTTAATGCAGCATTACAACTGCAAAGTACAGAAAAATTATTTTATTCAAATTGAATAAACTCGAATGAAATGATTTTAATTCAATTATAAATTTTAACGTTGGAATGTGAAGTCTTTGTGGTTACAATAGGTTAGATTTCTACAAAATGTAAAATTATATGATATTTCACCTCATCATCTATAACTTCACCATCTTCGAGTTCTAAAGGTTCTGCTTCCATATTTCTCTCCTTAAGGATTATAACCTATTTAATAAAATAAAGTTGTGATCATCCAATAACTGCAGATTTTTTTTTTTTATATGCAATCTTAGCGACACTTTTTTCACAAGTCCGTCATTGCTGCCACCACTGCTGTGTATATTCTCTGCCTTTCTGTTGAATAGTTTCTACGGTTCAATATAATTCTTCTTCGCTAGTGCAAAATTTTTTAATAAGAGAATATATTTAAATCAGTCTAAAAATCTGTACTTAGTAATGTAGAATTTTGAAAATTTGCATCTTTTTACTACAAATTTTGTATATTATTATTGAAATAATTTAGTAATGGGTTAGGTTAAGACAAATAATTTAGTAATATTTATTTTTAAAAATATTGTAACATAAATTATATTTTTTAATATATAGTTATATAAATTATAGTTGTTAATAAATGAGTTATATTTTTTATAATTTTTCAAAAGAATATTCAAATATTTCATATTTAAATTTTTTTATGAATTTATAAATATCTTGTCTTATATTTTCAATTAAAGAGATCGAAGATAAATAATTATAATAAGTAATAAATAATATTGTAGTAACAAATAATATTGTTTTATTATGTACAATTAGCAATTGTATTTCGCTTCATTAAACACTTTTAGTTACTTTTTGATAGTAAATTTTACTTTATATCTAGTTGAATGTTACGCATTGCATTCCGTTCATTTTCCAAATATGTAAATATATTATATAAAATTAAAACAGATTAAAATATTATAAAAATGATTTTTACATACTGTATGAAATGGTCGAAGAATTGTCTTCAGTTAACTGTTCCTCATTATTTCCAAATTGGTAATTTAAACATATCATGTAAAATAAACATATCATGTAAAAACAATTACAAATTTTGTCGACTTTTAAAATAGTTTAAAATAGTTTTACAATTATATTTCAATAATAAAAAAAGCATTTGGAATGTTATAACGAAACATTCAGTGAATATTATGCTTATTATTAAAAACAAAAGCACAATTTTTTACGTATATTTTAAAACTAATGAAAAAATTCTTTAAATATTACATTTCAATTCATTACAATTCATTAACAGCTAAGTCGTCTGTATTCTATATAAGTACAAGCACAAAGAAAAATAACTACATTGTTTGGTTAGATCTGGAAGTAAATATTATTAAGTAATTTTTCACAAAAGAATACATTTTTTAGCATAACTAATCAAATATATTTTAGATGACTGGACTTGATGTAAATACATCCCAGATTCTGGAAATAGCGTGCTTAATCACTGATAAAAATTTAAAACTTGTAAGCAAAGATTTCAATGTTGTCGTACATCAGCCAGATGAAATACTAAACAATATGAATGACTGGTGTCTAAAGATCCATCAAAAAGTAAAGATTTATAATAAATTTAATAATAATCATAAATTTTTATAAAAATATTTTTATTATACTTTCAGACAGGATTAATTGATGAGTCACGTTTAAGTAAAACCACAATACAAGATGCTGAACAAATTGTACTAAAATATCTAAAAACATATATAAAAGAAGCGACATGTCCATTAGCAGGAAATTCAGTTTACATGGATCGTATGTTTCTATATAAACACATGCCATTAATTAATAATTATTTACATTACAGAACTATTGATATTTCTACTATTAAAGAATTAGTTAAGTAAGTATTAAAAGTGTTTCTTTATCCATTATATTTTATATATCCAATAGAATGTTAATGTAATTTTGTTAATTTTAGAAGATGGAATATAAACATACCTACCTTAGAAAAAAAACATGTTCATAGAGCATTACCTGATATAAAAGAAAGTATAAAAGAATTACAACATTATAAAGATTATATATTTGATTTATGTATTAATAATTAGATCACAAATTTCGCTTTATATTATAAAAAATGTTCAATGTTTTTCATAATAAAAAATTGAATATTGTGATGTAAAATATTTTAACTGCCAAATATTTGTATTTAATTATTTAAATGCACATTTGATAGCTTAATAAGAATTGTATAAGATGTTGGTGCCAAATTTATCTTTAAAATTACAAACTATTTTCATTTAAATATATATACAGAGTGTTTCAGATCTCAATCGTCAAATTTTGCCAACATATTTGGGAAATTATTTTGAATTAAAAATATTATATACTATGGATCAATACGTCTTTGTTCTTGACGCGTGAAAGAAAATGTAGTACAAATCATAAGTAATCAGATATACTGAAGCTACTTAACTTTTATGATTATTGAAAATTTACTCCAGTACAAATACTTGTAATGAGTTGATAAAAAATATAAAAGAGGCTGTTAGTATCATCAATAACAACTTTTCTAATGTACAGTGGATGCTATAGAAACATGTTTACTTACATGTATAAGTAGAAACAGTACTAGAAACAGAAAATTATCATTTGTATAAACTAGTCTGAACCAAAATTGATTACTAAAAAAAATTTGAAAAAAATGATAATCATTAAAAGTTAAGTACTTTTCAAATGTTGGCAAAGTTTAACGATTGAGACCCTACGCTGTATACACAGATGCATACATAAGTTTCAAAACGTGTTAGTTGCTAAATTTTTACTAAATAATAAAAACTTGATGATTAATAAAGATCACTCATAATTTATAAGGATTTATAAAGATTACTCACAATTACTCTATAATTTATTTTTTAAAATTCTTATATTTATATTTATAATGTTTTTATAATATTTTTATATTTATATTTATAATGTTTTTATAATGTTTTTATATTTATATTTATAATGTTTTTATATCTATAATTCTTATAAAAAAATGCTATAAGAAATTTAGGAAAAATTAAAAATTTTGAAAAATAATTTTATTTATATTTAATAATAATATAGTATATTGAAAAATAATTTTACTTTTATTTATATAATAATTTAGTATTTTCCATTTTTTGAAATTAAATTATTCAATCAAAATAAAACATTAGACTACAACATTATTATAAAACATTAGACTACAATAAAACATAAAAGTAATTAGACTACAATATATTTCCAAAATTAAATTTAAAGCAATCGTATAGGCAATAGGATATATTGATAAAATATATCAATACTTATATACGATAAAATATAAAAAAAGAATAAGTCAAAGTAAAATATATTAATAGAATTTAAATCTATATCAAACATTAAAAATATAACAATAACTATTTTTTATTTTTCTTTATGTTTTCAAAGAGGGAAAATAAAATTTGAAATAAAGAATTTAATATTAAAAATGTAAAATATTACTATTTATACGCAGAACTGTATATGAATATTATGTCGAATACAAGTAATACATATTATATCGAATACGTAATACATACTATATCGATATAATATATAAGTACATCGATTTAATATATAAGTAATATATATCATATTAAATACAAATAAAGCAAAATCTTGTTTAAAGTCATATTTACATTTCGAGATCTTTCCTGGTAAATTGTACATTATGGTGATTGTAACACGTAATGCGCATGTTCATTACATAAACTAAAGGTTATGTTCAATTCTATATTGTGCAACATAATTCTTGTGTGTACAATATAAAGGTTGTTTTTAATATATCATGTATTAATATTTCCATAAATTCAATCGATTATTTATTTATTGTGTATTCTGTATTATAATAAACTTTATTACAAATGTACGTAATTTATTATATATTACATACATATCTTTTTATACAAATCAAATTTATTTTATGTACATATTCTGTATGTAAAGACTAAAATTATGTTAATTTCATTTACATACTTTATTACTTATTTTATATAGTTGATTTAAATGACAAATACTCCTAATTTTTATATGTTGTTATGTAATTATTTAGCTGTTGTATCATTATAACTTTTTTAGTTTTAGTAATCCATTTATAATGGCATCTTCTCATAGTGGTGGTGTAAAACCAATGAATATTGGTTGGCGGGTAGTGAATGAAAGAGAACGTTTGATTGGTATGTTAGATGAAGAACGTGCATGGAGAGCTAAGTATCTTAAAAGCCAGCAGCTTTCACCAGATGAGCCATTAATGTCAAAGGAGTATTATAAACAGTACTATAATCCATTTCGAAGATTCTATAGAATACCACTAAATGCAGTTGAAAGACTATTAACTCCTGTTATGGTAAGAGAACAAAATTTTTATATAGAACGAATAACTGTTATTATTTTTGTCTGACATTACATTTAATTACAGGGTGTTCAAGGTGCATTAGTTATACGTATTTGTACAGCAAAATGTTTGATGGGAATATGTGCAATTTATGCTGGATGGTACTACTACAAATATAATACAGCTGTAAGAAAACTTTTTTAGTATTTGTGGCAAATAGAATATTTTAAACGTGTTAAAATATTTGTGAACTTGTCGAGATTATTTCTTTATAAATTTTGATCAGATTTTTTTTTTAATCATAGTCAACTTTTTTTATTATTTTTCTGGTTGTTTGTATATCATAATAAAGTTCTAATTAAAAAAAGATCTGTTCAAATCCATAATAGAGTAATCTTTTAATAAGTTTACCACGTTTGTTTTTATAGACTTGGATGAGACAATCCGCTTGGAGAAAGATACCAACACGCTCCGCAAAAATTCCAGGAACTGAAGGTTACAAAGGTCTGGAAAAGCCTCCACCTTTTGGTACATTTGGTTTCGAAAATTCTCCCATATAAAAATTATTGTCTAGTATCTATATTATTATCTAGTATTTAAACATAATAAAATAGTAATTCAAAATGTATTGTATGTTTTTAATTGTATAATTTAAGTATGGTTTTAAAAATCAAATTGTACTTTAAAAATCAAATTTTGCTTTTTCCAAGTAGCTTATTTTATTTTATTTACACATTGTTTAGTTATGTCGATTATATAGATATAAAGAAAAGAAAAGCTATTTAAAAAATATGAAAGATAAAACTGATACAATATTTGGAATTAAAAATGTAGTTATATTTGTTATAGATGTTTATTTAAGAAATCCAAATATCCGTCTTTGCCGTCCAAATTGATTTTCTTCTTTCAGTACATTCATGAGAGTTTTATTTAATTGTAATCCTATAATTTCACCCATCTGAAAATATAATTCTGTTGTTTTTAATATACACATACACAAGGCGTAAAATGATGCATAGTACAATTGGGTGGATTTATTTAACATGTAAAAGTGTATCAAAAAATTTTTCAAAAATATCGAATTCGAATACATTTATGTTACTAGTTTGTAGAAATTCATACATCACATTTTTCAACTGTTGTCAAATTCTAATGTACTTAATAAATTTTTAAACTGGATCTTCTCGAAAGCAAGGCCTTAAATGAAAAAATTTTCTTTTACACTTTCTATTTATTTTAACATGTAGAATACATGTTTTCTGTCTAGTTGTACTATACATTCTATTCAATCTTGCATATATACAGGGTTACTACTTTATATGCAGTGTGTCTCACGCAATTATTGTCACGATTTTTCAGACAGTTTTAACAAAAAAATGTCAAATTTCGAACAAAGATTAATCAGCTTTCAGTCGGCTACATGTTTATAAATATTACAAATATTACAAAAACCTTCTTTTCCAATAAAAAGTTAAAGTCACCTTGATTTATTACACTTATTCATCAGAATTCGACCTGAAAAACCGTGGCGATGATTATGTGAGATACATTGTATAATGTATAATAATATTATTACTTGCAACATTTTGGTAAATGTATTAAATTGAATGCTTCCATAACCCAATTTAACTATTGATGAAATTTTACCATTTGGTAGTACAGACATAACAATACTACTTGTACTACATACTTCTTCTTCCAAGGTTGGATCTATAATATAATTATCGCCAATCTGTAGAAAAAAGTAAATAATAATTTAATCCATGTATATATAAATTACATATATTTCATATTTTAAATATAGTACAAAATTCTTTTCTTTAGATATATCTATAACATAAAAATTATAAAATATTATAAATTAACACAAACATACTTTACACAGTGTTATAACAATCGGATAATTACTCGTATCCAATTGTATACAGTCATAAGAATCATCTGATAACTCAATATCTGGTTCTCCACCATCAAGAGTTGCAGCTGTAATTTTTGGTATTTCTGTGCTATTTAATGCAGCTTTAACTGCAATTCCTACTGCATCAAAAAGATTGCCACCATATTGAAGAATCTGTGTATATGCATTATGTCTTTAAAATTACTATCTTTGTAATAATTATTCAAGTGTGTAAACATTTACCAAAACATCAACATATATTTTCCAGCATTTTTTATGAGGTAAAATACATAGTGTTTTTAAATCAAAAGCATTACGTGTTTGATAAGCAGCTGTTAAAACATTGCTTATTTCAGTTGCTAAATCATCACCACCTTTTCCTTCAAATGCAGGAGTTGCAGTAGCAGAACTAAAATATAATGAACAATGTGAAACAACTAATAAATATTTATTTTTTTAATTATTATAAGATCATTTATCAAAATTAAGTAAATATAATTAAGAGAATTTTTACATATATCTCAAATATTTTTTAGATATTATTTAGAATTATGAGAGATTTTATTTTATAAGATAATTATTTGAAAATTAATAAAGAATATCAAACATTCAATAACTACCATAATTATCATAAGGAATATTACATACCAATCAACAAAAAATTCTAATTTTCCTTCATTTGGTTTATCAGCATGAGGTATATCAAGTTCTACTTTAATGCCAACAAGTATATCTGTATTTCCTATGTGTAATCTTGCTGATCCATGCGTTTGTGGCATTAATTTAGTTTCGATCTCCATTGATCGATATTCACATCGTCGTCTACCATCATTTCTAAAGTCTGCCTTATAATTATAAAATTGTAAAAATGATAAAATAACTTTAGTTTATAGTTTAGTTTATAAATACATATACATATATTTCAGATTCTTTTACATTAACTTACATCTATTCCATGGAGTATGAAAATTTTTTCACCAGAGCTTAAAACAGTTTCTGCCATTATGAAATATTTTATTTTTATATATTTTACAAGCAAATTTTAATATGTTTTAAAATTTTATATTAATGTTCAAAGAATCTTCTTGCTGTATATACTATATTTTATTATTATTTATTATATTACGGAGGTTATGTAACCTAAGAGTGAATTAGAGATTTCTTACTTTAATTGAAATATTAATAAATATTATAATAATATAATAAATATATTATTTAATAAAACTATAAAATATCTAACGATGTTTGTTTAATTATCATTACAATTAATTCGTTTATATATCGAAATAAATGTTTTACAGAGTATCTAACTACTTATGGTGGTTACTACATTTTTTTCATATCTCAAAATTGAAGATGTATCGATCCATAATATTTTTTGCTCAAAATGATCTAAACATATTGCTCAACGTAATCTTCGTTAGCAAAGTTTAATGGTAAAATCTGAAACACACATACACACACGCACACGGAATATATATTTTTATATATGAAGAGAACAATATTTCTTACTATATTCAGTACAAATATATTTATTTATTGTATATTTACAATTAGTTATACAAGGTACCTATATTTGTAAAATTTTAAATATTAAAAGGAAAGCAAGGATTTTAAACGTTTTATATGTATATTAAATTTATTTATTAATTCAAGTTATATAGATTTCGACTAAAAAATAACGAAGTAAAATATATTTTCTATATATTTTACTGGAAGACAAAAACATCAGAATAAAAAATTTTCTATATAATAGCCATGAATATATTAAAGCGTGCAAAATGTGTTTAATTATTATTATTTTTATTATTATTACAATTATAATATTTATTATAATTGTTATTACAAAATAATAATATATAAGATAGATTTTTATAAGATTGCGTTTTTTGATTTGATTATATGTTTTTTTAAACATTATTATGCTTTTTTATCATTGTCAACAATTCAGAATCAATATAATTTTAAGTAATAAATTAATTAAAATCCATAAAATGTCCCCTTTTACAAAAATCTTTTTTTCTCTGTTTCAAATATTTGAAACTAATAAAAGAATAAAGTCTCTTCTGTAATTAAATATACCTACGCAGATAATTTTCTAAATTTTTTTTACATTACAAATATTTTAAAACTGTTTATAATTAAAAGATAGTTTATAATTAATAAAAATTCTTACAATATGATTAAGTTTTTTGTTTTGTATAATTACGTTGTTATGAAACCATTTAATTTTTACGCAGTATATTTTGTATAGCATTTTTCGCTTTTTGAACACCAAGACGAAACTGTCCATATTCTGGACGTATTTTCATGCCACGATAATAATAAACGAGACTCATCTCGAAATCATTAAGATAGTATAGAGCTTCTGCTTTACAGTATATTGCGTTAGCCATACTGACATTTTTCATTTTAAATTGTAATGCATTCTCAGCATCTTGCAATGCTTTTTGAGGCTCTCCTAGTAAAAGATGACATTTACTTCGTGCTATTAATGCGTTGTTATCATTTGGTTCAAGATCCAGTGCCTGACAAAAAACAACAATAATAATTATATGATATAATTATATTGTATCAAAATATAGAGAGTCAAAGACATTATATATATATATATATATATATATATATATATATATATATATATAAATTGGTTTTGTATGCACACACACACACAAATATAAAAAATATTTTGTGTATAATAAATTTAATTTTTAAGATTTCTTCGTAGAAATCATGCATTTCGTAATATTTTAAAACACTTTTAACAAATTGTAAATGATAATAGTGTGAACTAAAATGGTAATATCAGTTGCTGTCTTTATAATAACTCTGTATATGGAAATGAATATATATTCTCGCTCAAAAGTCTTAGGACATTTTTATTCAGTATTTATTGTCGTGGATAATCGTATATATACATTTTATAATATAATATAATACAATATATTAATATATTAACAGGATCTTTATTGTATAAAATGTGTTTTATATTTATTATGCTTAATTATATTATATGTATTGTATTTATTGTAAATATAACAATTTATATTGCATATTGTGTATATAACTTTTATAAATGTATATAAATGTATATTGTAATCTATATGCATTTATTGTATATAATTTAATCTATATGTATATAATTTCTAGTTCATATTCATTGTATTATTTTCAAATATAATATTTATCCTAAGATTTCTGAGAAGAAACTGGGAAAAAGAAACATATAAAATAATTATAATAAATAATATTTTACTGAATCTCTTTTTTAGTTTTAGTATAAAAAAAATTTTCATTTACTTCTTCAAAGATTAATTAAACTAATAATGTAATATTATAAGATAAAAAGATTAAAATAAGATACCTTCTTATTTATTGAAGATTAGTTAAACTTAAATTTCAAACAGACATTACGAATCGATGTAATTTAATTATTTTCTTCCATTTTTATAGAATATAAATATTACAAAAAAGTTATATTTATAACAAATATTAAACAGTTTAAAATAATAAGTGTTATACAACTAATATGAATGGAAATAAAATAGCAAAACATCAAAGATTCAAAAAGGATAAACAAGAACCTTATTAATACAATTCATTGCGACTTTAACATCACCAATTCGCATTTCGCGCAATCCTAAAGCCAACATAGCTGTTGGTTCAGTGTCTTCGGGTAATTGTAAATTACGGTCCTGTTTTTGCTTCATTTTTAATGACTGTTTAATATCTTTGGTACCCATATTTACCGCGGCAGCGCGATCCTTATCAGTATATACTTCTTCCTGGCAGTGGATACCATTATTTTGTCGGCGTCATTTCTTTCTCTTTTGAATGTTCATTTCTGATTCGACCGATAATTTATTGGATTTACTCTCTCGTTGCTTATTTTTCCTATCTTTTTTGTCACCGCCAATGTGACTTTCTTTATCATCGTCATCGTTTAGCTCTTTGTCAAAATAGGTTCCCAAAGAAGATGGAATCTTATCGAAATTTTCCGATTCTTCCAATTGCTTTGAACCTGAAGCGCTTTCTACTGGCGCTCGTACGTAACTTTGTAATAGATCATGATGATGTATTGTTGAATTTAGAATACCCATTATTTTCGAATCAATAGCGTTTTGAGTGTTCGCAGATTCTGACACAGTTATTTCACTCATCGTTCGTTATTTTTTTACATTTGATCTTGAATCGATTTCTCCTTCTTTTTTATTTAAAAATAAAATAATGTTGAAAGTGAAAAAAAAATAATAATAATAAATAGGAGAAAAGAATCGTTTATATTTTAAAAATTATTTTAGATTAAGTATTTATTTTATATTTCATTTTAAGTATATTAAATTTTTATTTTATTACAAATATAATTTATTTTATTTTAAATATATTATTTTATATGAAGTGTTTTTTTTTTTAATTATTTTATATTAAGAACTAATTGTAAGAGAAACACTGATTGTTTTTTGTTTGCATTTTGTAAATAGAAATCAGTATAACGAATACACTCGGCACATTTCATTAACGAGAATAGTTTAAAGTGTAAGGTAAGTATGTACTACTGCTACTTTCGTGTGATTGCGTGTAGAATAGACGTGTGGTTATCGACACCTTAGTCAGATACCTTGTTTCCTTAGAAACAGTCAACAATGCGGACAAATGAAATTTCAGACAAATTTCTGATCGTACATGTGCTCTTTCAGTTTGTATTCTCAGGAAGTATCTAGTCCAGCTTGCAACCATTTAATTTTTGCATATATATAAAGAACGAGGACTGTGAAACATAGAGATTGATCTTCTTAATTTGCAATTATACCAATTTGTAGTTTAAAGGTATTTTAAAAAATCAATTTTTTAATTTTCTGTTTTTTTTAAATTTACAATTAGAATAATGATTCATATATGTATATTATATTATATTTATATGTTTTTATATATTTCTTATTATGTAAGAA